ATTTTGAATTTTGAAAAAATAATATCATATTCGTAATTAGCGACCCCGAAAACCCCCGAGTAACGAGTTTCAAGCGAATCCGATGAATTTTTCCAAAAGGTGTCCTCCATATTGGTTTTCTGGGGTTATATCAAAACCCTGAACTGATGGGGTTAAATGGACCTCGGATTCGGATTCAGCGACCCCAAAAACATAAACTACACATAGTGAGACCTTTGGGTCAGAACACACATTTTTTTTTGTGTGGCTGTGTAATAGACAAGTGCAATGTGAAAAGAAACCAAACCAGTTTCGCAAAATATACTTGAAGTTACGCGATTAATAAAATGCAAATAAAAGTGAAAGCCAATAAAATGAGAAAAAACTAAATTCTGTGCATTGCAAGAAAAGAATAAATTTTATCAATCTTGTGCTTCGGTAAATGCGGCTGGTTTTTTTTACACAAACAACATCGTATTAAGAATCAAAATGGACGTTCGCGCAATTCGTTATTGTTAGCCGGTACCCCACTAAAACGTCAAAAGTGCTCTAATTTTTATTTAAAAAAAATATTAAACACTGAGTGTTTTCTCCCCTTTTTTGCCTTACACAATAATAACGCGCGTTTTTTTTTATACCCGAGCGCACTTGTGCACAAGGGTATTATAACTTTGTTCACATAACGGTTGTTTGTAACAGGCAAAACGAATCGAGATAGATATAGACAAATGTATACATAAATGATCAGAATGAAAAAATTTCAGTCCGATTTCAATAATTTTCAACGCTTTGCTTTTATGTGGCAAGCACAATAACCATACCGAGTTTGGTTCAAATTGCTAGAACGGTTAGCGAGATACATATATGTGATCATAAGTGGGCGGTGCCACGCCCATTTTCAAAAATTGTACCATAAGCGTATTTCTTGGTAAAAAATTGTTGCAACCATCAATTTTGAATAAATTAGCTTTAATATTTACTGATTTATCGAGGATTTCGTATTTTTCTAAATTACCGTTATATGGGATGTGGGCGTGGTTATTGTCCGATTTTAAAAATTTTCGGCCATTTAGTAAGCTGTACTAGGGCCAACAACTGTGCCAAGTTTGGAAT